GTATTAGATAGATAGATAGATAGATAGATAGATAGATAGATAGATAGATAGATAGATAGATAGATAGATAGATAGATAGACAAAAGGCATGCACAATAAGAATAATGTTTTTTGAAAAGCATTACAATGTCCTTTACATTCTCACGTCGTCCTCTTTTATTGCCGTATACTTTACCTGCCACTTTGCCTACAACGTACGAAGCAAAAAGTAATGCAAATTGTTCGCTATTTTGCACAATGTTGCATCGAATTTAGTGGAATTCAGATGACATGTACTTGGTCATGTACTTTTGAACTCAAACTGTTAAAATTTTAATTTCTTTAATTTTGGCCTGAATGACGTCACATCAAAATGGCTACCTTCTTGGAGGTCTGTCATAGGAAAAGAGCGTGATTGAATTTCTTGTTTTAGAAGGAGAATCCACTGATAACATAAAAAAGAGACTTCAAAATGTTTGCACGGACCAAGCTCCAGATTTTGGCATTGTATATAGACGTTTGAGAAATGAACCAGAAGTAGAGGTAGAAGTGTCCATATGGTTGTTAGACAAGCGTCGTCCGGAGGAGTCAGCCGGGAAAAATCATGGCAATTGTGTTTTGGGACCTTCATAGTGTGCTTCTCACGGATTTTTTTACCGCGAGGAACAATTGTCCTTTCTGAACCCTACATTGAAACACTGAAACGATTGAAAGCGAGAATTCGACGAATCAGACCAAATTTGAACATGGAAAGAATGTTTTTCTCAACATGACAATGCCCACCTGCGTTCGAGCACCGTTTATGTGGAAAACACTAAACGTATTCTCCTGCTTTTGGCTCCTTTAGACTTCCACCTTTTCGGTCCTTGAAAAGAACCATTGACCGGTCAACATTATGGAAACGATGGAGAAATCAAGACTGCTGTAGCCCTGAGACCAACCTGATAAGTTTTACCAAGCTGGCATATATGGACTTAGTAAAAGGTGGATAGTGGCTATTTAACGAAATGGAGACTATATTGAGAAATGAACATCTGATCCTTAGATGCTCCTCTTCAATTTGAGGTATGATAGTTGCAAGTGTGTTATTTTTACTTTAAGTTATAAACGAACTTGCATTACTTTTTGACTCACCCTGGTACTTTCCTATAGGAAGACACATCTCATGCAGCCAGCCTACGGATATCATGTTCCTGCTGGAAGATTCTCGAAATATTCAGAGCACCAGCTTCAGGGAAATGATCAGCTTTGTGAAGGGACTGGTGGCCCAGTTTGACATTAGCGCGGCCGGTACCAAGGTCGCCCTCGCAACCTTTGGTAAAAAGTTAAATACGGAGTTTGACTTCGGAGCTTACAACTCACTGGCAGAGGTAAACTCTCACTGGATACAAAGTACTTTTACTTTTCTGTGCTCTTATACCGCGATGTGTCATGTGGAGATGCAATTGTTGGACGTGCGCCATGTGTATTGCTTTACGAATCGTCATATTGTGCCATTGAAGGGTCCATTTGATTCCATCGATCCATCTCTTGCATGTTGACGTTCTGCCTCTTTCTTCTAGTAAGTAAGTATATGGGCTCAACGCCCTTATAAACACCTTCAGGTCGTTTATGAAACAGAAGCGAAGTCAGCCTGGAGGGTCATTTGTAAAAAGGCGTAGGCTTTGGTACACTTGTTAATCTGACTTATGGTCCCTTTGATGGTATTCTATGTTGAAACTTTACTCTCCAGTCATGTCTTCTGCCTATGAATCAAACCGACAAAGAATGCATTGAAAGATCCCGACCATAATTAAAGTGGAAAGTTATAAGTAAGGTTGGGGCAGTCTAATCAATAGGCGTAAGTTATAATATGTAGCCCACCAACCAGAGCACTCGATACAGAAAATTGGGTCTGTTTGAGAGTCAATCACGGTTCATGATACTGAGCAGCCGTTCAAGTGGTGAATGATCCTTTTGAAGGCAATAATACGTTTCACGAGGATCAGAAACGAAGCTTTTCGTGCAAAACGCATGCGTCTTGTAAAACTCTCTTTATCCCTTTTTTAAATCTATTTTCTACTCTAAGTTCTACTTTCATACTCAGCTTTACCTTCTTCTTATCGGGCAGAAAGCTATGTACATAAATTACTCATTTTCAAATTGCGTTATGCGAATGTTGTTAGACACACTCCTACAGAAGATAAGTACAGATTTTAAAGAAAATTCTGGTTTCAAACGTTGTTCTAACGTTAAGCAAAGGCGTGTAAACTTTAGACACCTTGCAGTTTAAATAGAAAAGTAAAACATTTTATGACGATTCAGATTGTGATCTTGCCGGCACTTCCTTTTCCATGCTACCTGGAAAAGAGTTGTATTTTCGTGGCCCTCATTCCTCTCTTTCTCCTTTTCCAATGTAGGTGGAGCATGCTTTGGACTATGTTCACTTGGAAAATGGGGACGAGACAAATATAGGCAAAGCTATTAGTTATGCCCATTCTACGCTGATCAGCCACCAAAGGCCAGGTAACCGACTCTATTGATCGGTATAACTGTCATGCCCCGCTGCAGTTATGAAGCAGATTATCAAATCAACCAGTGTACGAATTCTCCAAGTTTCTCCTCCAGGGGAGCTGCTTTTATTAACAAATCTTTATTTTAATATAATAATAAAAGCAGACCTTAAGAACAAGCGATGAGCCCTGGCAATATAAGCAACAGCATTGAGAACAGAATATAAACACAGACCATAAGAACAGACAATGTCAGACCATAAGCATTAACCATAAGAGCAGACCATAAGCACCTAGAAAAAGAACAGGTAAGAACAGACAATGAACACGAACCATAAGAACAGAACACTGGCAATAAGCAGTTTTCATAAACACTGACCATATGCTCTGGCCATAAGATCAAAACATTAAAATGACAATAAAGACTGACCATTAGCTCTGACCATAATCACTGACCATAAAAACTGACCATAACAACTGACCGTCGAAACGGACCATAAGTACTAACCATATCTCTGAACATAAGAGTTGCTCAAAAGCACTGACCATAAAGCGCTGACCATAATAATTAAACATAATATATTCTGACCATAATCACTGATCATATCTCCGACCATAAGAACTCACAATAAAGACTAATAATACGCACTAACCATAAGCTGTGGCCATAGCTCTGACCATAAGAACTGACCAAAAGAACAGAACGTAAGCTTTACCCATATGCACAAATCGTAAGACCTCACTAGATGAATTGACCTGAAGTACAGGAAGTAAGCTTTGACCATATTCACAAACCATAAGAACTATCCATAAGCACTAACCATAAGCTCTGACCATAACAGCTGATCATAAGAACTGACCATAAGAACTGATCATAGCCATAGCCATAAGATTTGAACATAATGATTATGTTCTGACCATAAGCTCTGACTATGAGAATTGAACAGAAGAACAGGATATAGAATGGACAAAGGAGTTGACCATATACACAAACCATATGCACGATAATAAGAACTAATCATAATCACTGGCCATATCTCTGACCGTAAAAGCTGACCGTAAGCACGTACCCGTTCTTTACTCCAGGTGTCCCTCACAAGCTAATCATCATCATAAACGGTGCGTCCAGCGACCAGAAAGAGGCGTCCAAAGCTGCATATCTCGCCCGAGAGGATGGGGTGGAAATCATTGTCATTGGTATCGGCAGGTGAAACAATAGAAACCATTTTTAGCAAGAAAGAAGCATTGCTGTGATTTAATTGTTTGTTCAGTCAAGATAGACGAACGCTCATTTAAGAGATAAAACGCCACAACAACGTTTCAACTATTTAAGAAAAAACAGTTAAACAGGCTATAATTATTTCTTCTTAAATGTCTCTTCTTGACCCGTAAAAAAAAGGCAGAACCTGTTTTATGGAGCACTAGAGAGTAATGCATGAGGTCTTTCACAAAAGTAAGTTTCCTTGTTCGGCAAAATCAACAATGTTTATTTTACACACATGACGTTTTCTACATACCTACATGTTTCCTATTTAAACACAATAACCGTTGATCTCAACGCACTTTTTAAGCCAAAATAGCTAGCGTCAGACGCAGTGACCATGTTCACATCGGTCAGTGTTCTTTGTTAAATCTACCATCTTTTCTTAGGTTACAAAGATCAAATTTTAATGTTATGGGGGTTTTGGTAAACAAAGAACTACGCTTCATTATGTATGTATGTATGTATGTATGTATGTATGTATGTATGTATGTATGTATGTATGTATGTATGTATGTATGTATGTATGTATGTATGCATGCATGTATGTATGTATGCATGCATGCATGTATGTATGCATGCATGTATGTATGTATGTATGCATGTATGTATGTATGTATGTATGTATGTATGTATGTATGTATGTATGTATGTATGTATGTATGTATGTATGTATGTATGTATGTATGTATGTATGTATGTATGTATGTATGTATGTATGCATGCATGTATGTATGTATGTATGTATGTATGTATGTATGTATGTATGTATGTATGTATGTATGTATGTATGTATGTATGTATGTATGTATGTATGAATGTATGTATGTATGTATGAATGTATGTATGTATGTATGTATGTATGTATGTATGTATGTATGTATGTATGTATGTATGTATGTATGTATGTATGTATGTATGTATGTATGTATGTATGTATGTATGTATGTATCCGTATGTATACATATATATAGAGAGAGATAGATATATTTATAAATATATAATATATAATATATATATATATATATATATATATATGTGTGTGTGTGTGTGTGTGTGTGTGTGTGTGTGTGTGTGTGTGTGTATTTATGTGTGTATATGTGTCGTGTATGTGTGTGGGTATGTGTGTGTGTGTGTATTTATGTGTGTATATGTGTCGTGTATGTGTGTGGGTATGTGTGTGTGTGTGTGTGTGTATTTATGTGTGTATATGTGTCGTGTATGTGTGTGGGTATGTGTGTGTGTGTGTGCTTGTTGTCAGACATCAAGGTGAAATGTGGTGCTCGTCAAAATAATGAAATGGAAGAAAGAGACATTTTTTTGCCAGTTTGGCAAATTTTTATTGCATTTTTGTTATTTTCCTCAGCACCTTTAATGTCTATATAAAAACACATTTGCATGTGAATTTAACTGAAAAGTGTTGGTTGAAGGCACAAAATGTGTGATTTTTTCAGTTTTCAAGGACACTCAAGCTACTAAAGTTATCAAACTTTGGCGGGTCATTTTCCTGCTAATTTTACCACTGAAACCAGGCGAACCCACTTCCTTCAATCCCAAAATATAGTGCCTTCTATTCAAGATTGACGCAGGGTTTTTTTCGGTGAAAGTAAGGCAAGTGATTAAGCTATCAAAAGAAACCTATAAATCTACATGCCCTAAAATTGACGAGCGCCTGATTCCACACCGCTTCCTGACACTCACACACCTAATATATACATAATATATATATATAGGCCTATATTTATTTTTATTTTTATTTTTTTTATTTTATTTTTTTTTGGGGGGGGGGTGTTTTACGGCGCTTGCAACTGCATAAGGCCATATTAGCGCGCGGGACACATTAAACATTTTCAGTCAGCAGGAAATTTTGAATTTGGCCCGGGTGGCGGCCGAAACCTACTCTTATCGATTTTAGACCAACAAGGGATCTTTAACGAGCGCAATTTGCACACAGAACCTCCGAGATTTTTCGCCCTTGTCTGAAAAAGCTAGGTGTAGATCTTCCCTACTAGAAAATAAGGGGTGTGGCTGAAAGACAGCAGTAAGAAGGAGCAAAGGAGTAACAGTAGAACGGGTGCAGAAAGAGTCAGGAGCCCCATGGAGGTGGCAAAGTAGGAGAGGGGGTGGGGGTAGAAAGTGGAGACGAAAGCAGACGATAGAACATTGCTAGAGAGCAGGAATGGAGGTGAAAAGAGAAAATTTTAGAAAAGAAAATAGTTCGGTCGCTACCCGGATTCAAACCCGGGAGGCGTAGGCCTACACCTTAATCTCCAGGCCACAAGAGCCCCCATAATATAATATAAATATATATATATATAGATATAGATATATATATATATTTGTATATATATATATATATATATATATATATATATATGTGTGTGTGTGTGTGTGTGTGTGTGTGTGTGTGTGTGTGTGTGTGTGGGTGGGTGTGGGTGTGGGTGTGGGTGTGTGTGTGTGTGTGTGTGTGTGTGTGTGTGTGTGTGTGTGTGTGTGAGTTCGCGTATCTACGTTTGTGTGTGTCTGTGTGCGTCTGAGTGTGTGTGGTTTTTTTCGTGTGTTTGTTTTTAACATGAATTCATCTCTGCCCCTTGAAAACGAAAAAAAGTTTTATACTTTTAGTATCTACCTGTCGCCCCTTACCCCACTCCTACCCACCATCCTCAAATCCCCCACCCCTCTAATACTTTTTCTTTCTACCCCCTCCACATCTTCTCCCACCCCTGCCCCCCAATTCGCTTCCCTTACCCACCCCCTCCTTGCTGATTTATAAAGCCAAAACAACACCCAGCTACAAGATATGGCCAGTAAGCCTGCCAGCAATTACCTGTTCCCAGTCACGGAGTTCCCAAAACTTTCTTCTATCGGCGATCAAGTGAAACAGAAGACTTGTCCTGGTAAGAAAAGTAGTAACTGGAAGATAATAGACTTATTCTGCTTATTCGGTCTTCTATTGAGTTGAAAAAAAATCCCCAAAGCAATTTGGAAAGTTTTGATTCACGTTAGTAAGCACTCATCTTGAGAGATTCTCAAATATTGACACAAACTAGTTTCTTCAACAACTGCAACCACTGTTCTCAAAATTCTTACCAATGGGCACTTGGATTTTAAAGGTTAATTTTTCATTTTCAAACATGAACGATAGATTTTCTTCCCTTCAAAACTTGGATTAGCCCACAAAATTGGATGTATGCAAAACGTGCCAAACAAAGGGTTTATATTTAGTACTCGAGTCCGAGGCAGTGATGTCCCCCATGTATATTATAATGGTTGTGTGTGCCCACATTGGGACACTGAACCTCAAAGGCAAGACATACGCAGTTCAACATACGAGTGAGTACTTTTCGAGACTCATGTGGAGGCGTCTTGGCCGTAGAAGGAGGAAATATACTAGCCTGCACTGAAATATGGGGGGCAGGGTGATCTTTAAAATTTTAAGGCTCGTGGGGAGCGGGGTGGGGGCGCTTATTGCTCACGTATGTGGGGGCATGCAGGCTATACCGATGAGGGTAAGAAGGCCCTTATGTCTGATACGTGTGACGTTATTGCTGTGAAGCTCTTGGATGGTAGTATAACCTCTTTGGGGCAAAATTGAATAGGTTTAACTTCCTTTGCAACACTTGAAGTTTATCTAAGAGTCGAAATTTCCAAATTTACACGTCCATCTGCGATAAAACCAAGTCAAATGGTAACATTCGTGTAAAGTGCTTTTCCCCTGGACACAAAGTCTAACTGGGGCGGGAACTGTACTTTGGGAATAAGGAACTTTTAATAATAGCAGGCCTGACGTTCTGTCCTTGGGAAAGGCACTTTACACGAATTTCCCATTTGGTTCTGTTCTTTCAGAGATGGACGTCCGTGTGCAGGTTGCGCACGTTAAAGATCCCTTGGTCGATAAAAGTAATCTTCGGCCGCCACCCGGGCAAAATTCAAAATTTCCTACCGATTGAAAATGTTTAATGTGTCGCACACGCTCATATGAGCTTACGCAGGTGCGAGTGCCGTAAACATTTACCCAAAGAAAACACCTAAATAAAACAAGAGATGGACGCTAAATTCGGAGGTCCCGCCTCTGAAATAACCTAATACTTACTAATAGTGTTGACAGGGGCGTTAAGCCTATACGAGTTCACCATTTTCATTTCAAATTAAAAGTGGGGAGAACTAAATGTCTCTGAGATGGCAACTGCTTTGCGGAACAGACACATACGGGCGTGTGCACACACACACACACACACACACACACACACACACACACACACACACACACACACACAAAAGAACTATGCCCATAATCATAAGCTTAAAACATTAGGCTATATAATATGTATTCGTGTAGTACGTAAATTCAGGATAATCCTTTTTTTTAATAGAGAAACGGAAAGAAAAGGGGAACAAAACAAAATGCAAAAAGGAAGGATGACAAACAACAGGAAAAACAGTTGTATATATGTACAAAACGTTGATGAAATAAACAGTTTTCTTTAATATTTACGTTTGTTCTCATATCTTTTTTTTGATCATGTACATGTAATGGGCGTTCAGATTATTTTATTATGATCATCGTCTCTCTTCCCCCCC